AGGCTCCGCACGCCCTGTCCCCGATGCAGCCCCGGGGACAGCCCCGGCGGGTTTTGGCCCCCTTGTGCAGCACCGAGCACAGGGAGCCAAGGCAGACCGGTTCCCCCCAGCGCAGTGTGCGAGGGGGGTATCTGCAAACCAGCCTGGAACTCCAATGCAGCAGTGCGGGGAGGGGGGAGAGGTGAAGGCTCTACGACAGCATCACTGAAATGTTTAGCTCCGTGTCTGTGTAAAGAGCGTTTCTTGCCCGTCGCTGGTCGGATGGGGATATGTTTTCGTAGTTTCTAAGAACAAAGACGCCATGTCCTTTTCTCTTAAAAATAAAACTTGGAGTGATTTTTCTGTGGGGTGTTGGCTTTTAACTCTTTGTAAACCAGTAAGAGAAACGGGCTGCAGATGAGACCGATCGGTACTTTATGAAACAATAGAGAGAAATTGATTTCACTGGAGAAACAGCAATTCAGGTGCAGAAGTTTAAAAGAAAACTCCTAGGAATTACGTGCAAATTTGATTTTGCAATTAAAACGGCAGTGTAGAAACTTAAAAGCTTGAGAAAAACAAAGCTCGGTCATGCCAAGTCTACCGTTTAAAGTTGGCAAAATACTACAGTTGTGATTTAGGCGACACTACTAAAAGAAAAGAGTTACTTAAATACGAATTACACGATAAGGAAACTGATGAGTTTGTGTCTGACATGGAAAGCTTTTAAAAAGCATTTAATGGGTATCACGTTTGTTTTTATTATTCAGTTTGTAGGGTTTTCAGAGATCTCACAGTTACTTCTCTTTACAAAACATTTTAATCGTTCTCTCGGTGTTCTGATAATTTAGAAGTTATACAAGACCAATTGCAAGACTTTCTAAAATGCAAGTTTAAATGTAATGGCTGACATTTGTTTTGGGTTGGCTTGCGTTCAGCAATTACCAATTTAAGGGTAAAATTGTAATTTTAAATATATAAAAAGTCTCTGTAGAAGAGCAAAAGGTAAATACTAAAAACTTTCGTTTTAATTGGAGGTTGTGTATAGCCATATTTGTTGGCTTTTAATGGTGTACGCTTGTGCAAGGTTATAAAACTTGTGCAGATTTTAAATACTGCAGTTGGAGGTAAATGTACATTTTTCGGTACTTCCTCTGCAAATAAGAATCTGTCATTGCAACAATTGAAGTTAGCCCTTTTTTTGGAAATAGAAGTTTTAGCAACCACTGGACTTGTGTCACCTTTATGCCAAGTGTTCGGTGGCTTTATTTTAGATTTGGATTATGGTGGTTTTATAACCCCAGCAACAGTTCTGCAGCGTAGAACAGGTTCTGGCATACACACTTTGCCCTAAAGAAAGTTCTAGCTTTAGGTGGGTGTCTGCTGGATTTGTCTTAAGTATATTACAGGATAATTTTTGAACAGTTTTGACTGGTTTATTTTAATATAAATAAATTAGGAGGTGATTGTCCAGAAAATAAATTACTTGCAATTCATAATGTGTTTTATTTAATACTTCTGCGGCGGGTTTTTTATGTTTAAGGTGTAGGTGTTTGAATTTATACATCTTTTAATCCAGCATAAAAATGGTTTTTAGAATTGTATATTTACAGAATGATTCTACACTTCTAGAGTATGAAGTAATGCTGGTGATAGATAGAATTGCTGCAAAATAAAATGTTCTGGCTTTTCACAAAAGGCAAGAAAAGTTGGCTAGAGGTTGTGCAAATATGGTGTTCCTTGTGTTAAAAGAATGTAGTTTGAGACCTGATTAAAGGTTAAAGAAGCTGAAGGCTTTAAAACTGTATTCTAAAGGGCAAAAAAGATGTTTTTTTGGGGAGATGAAATAACTTAGGACTTAAAATTCAGAGAAGCTGATGACAGAAGCCATTTTAAAATAACCTTGCTATCAGCAAAGGTTTTATTTAATTTTGTATAGTGTACTGCTAAAGATTTTAATGTGGAAAAAAAAGTAAAAGGGCTGAGGGATATTGTGTGATAAATTACTGAGTAAAAAAAAAAATCTTAAATTGGAATTTTAGCTTTAAGTCTTTCAAAATTAAAGTAATGGGAGACAGAAGAGCTGACTGCAGTTCCTCATGAAAAACCCAGATCATGCATGTTGTGTGTCAGTCACTCACCTCCAGTGGGTTTTTCTTAAGCCAACAATGTACAGCCCCTCATACTTTAATTTTTCACAGTTCAGCTCAAAAGACAGTTACTGTGATCATAAGTTTTTCTCAACTTAATAATTATCTAAAGATTGATAGATTTCAGACATATGACTAATGCTGCTTTCCTAAAGCAAAATACTGAAAATTTCCATACTTTGTTTTTCAGGTAGGATTTCGTGAACAGAGCCTTATTTCCTGACTAGCTTCCAGAGGATTCGTTCATGCCTTATTTTCCTTAGGTAAGCATGCTTATACCTTGTGTTAATGTATTCATTTCCTTGTTTTATTTTTTTTGAAACTGGAGATTGCCTTTTTGCTACTGTGCAGATGTGAAGAAGAAAGAAATATCATTTTTGTATGGAGGGGACACATTTTATAAATTGTCTTGACTTGTAAAAAGCTTTTCTTTGCAGTTACAGGTAGATTGTCTTCATATAATGTCACGTATGTGCTGCTTGGGTATCAATTTCAGTTTAGTAAGGCTATTTAATAAGTGGACTGTTTATTTTTATCATATATGGGTGCTATATACATTTATTGTATTTGGTGGAAAAGAACAGCATTTGCATATAAACTGAAGTTCTGTAGGTCCTGTTTCACCAGTGAAAACCCGCATTAAACTTGGAAATTATTTTCGTTTTTTACTTAATGAGTTTGTAGCATTAATGTTTGGGGAAATTGTAGAATTTGTATTTGAAGGTAGTAACCCAAGACTTCAGGAATTCATAGAAAAGGAGATTTTTGGGGGCCTGTTTTGTGTTTTTGGGGACTAATGCTTAACAACGATAGGATATGGCTTTTGTACTGTTGGTAAAACTTTGCTTTATTCAAAGACATTTCCTTTACGTGTTTTCAGAAAGTTTGTCAGTCAAAAATGTTAAGACTTGAAGAGCTTGTGTGTACCTTGTTTCAGACAAACCTGGTTTTGTTGTTTTTTATCTTTAAGGGCTGTTACTGGATATGGTTCTTCCAAAGATTCAGATGACTGGTTGGGCAAAAGACCTTGAGCAAAATTCTGTACTGTGCATGCCAGGTATGTTACACTGCTGTGGGGTTTTGTTTAGTTTGTTTTTTGTTTTTTAATAATCCTGGAAACAGTTTTTTCAAAATAAACATTAAACATTTAAGTGTTTTAGCTTGTTGAATTATTTTCTTTTGAGCTTGGTGCATATGGAAATTGTTAGTATGTACGTACTACAGCAATGTTCATATCTCCTGCATCATTGAAGATTTTATGTTCACTCACAAGTACAACTTTTTAACAATTGCTATGACCATGTTGACATGTGGTGAAGCCAGAGGATTGTCATCTCCTAAGGATATTGTCTAATCAAACTTCAGGAATGTTTCTCTTTAATTCAAGGTATTGGTTTATTAGCAAAGGTCGCTCATAAGCTTTTCCTTTTCAAGAAATTGCTTATACAATAAACTTCAAAATTCTGGTTTTGGTGTAAATTTTTTTCTAAAAGCCTAAAGTGGTACCCAGTTGTTACGAGCTATCTTGCTCTCCTTGCAGTGTAAACAAAGCATCTTTTTAATGTTTATCTTTTGTTTTTACACTTCAGATTCTGCTTTTAGGATCAGAGTAACCTTTGAGTTAGGCTTTTAGCACTCTGTAAGTAAAAGTGGGGGATCCTCTTTGCCTGTCTTAACTGGTTCCTTTTCACAGCTTCCCGTGCTCGTGTACTTCTGTGCATACTCAGGACCTCAGAGCGTAAGGCGTCTTCACGAGGACACATGTGTCAGGATTCCCAAAAATACTTTTCATGATTTGCTTTTTCAAGTTACATAATGCATCATGATAACCAAATAATACAATTGTGAGCCCCCACCTGAGTGCAGCTGGTTTTCTTTTTGGCTTGGCTGAAGCCTTCAGTCTCTTCACAGAAAAGAGATTGTACACAATTTTCCATAAGCTTTACAAAAATGTCTCTTCAGGTTGTAATAAACCTTTATCTGCAGTGAGTCACTGCTGATGTTCAAGGTAGAGTTCAAATTATATTTATAGATATTGGACATGTGCCACCATCATGGATGTCCTGCAGCAAACACAGCTAACGAGCAAGGTGATATGTCAGAATGTTCCTGCAGCTTCATCGTGTGACTGTGTGATGGCAAGTGTGAGAACTAGAAGTTTGTGTTAGAAATTATCTCATACCTTAAGAACAACCGGGCATATCTAAAATCCCACGTAAGTTCTCAGTTTAGAGGGTCAAAAATCACAGATACTGCACAGTCTGTTACGATAAAGGCAAGCCCAGCCTGGGTCACACAGAAGTCTGATAACGCTGATGGGATTGAACCTGTCACACTTGACTTATATTCTTGGTATTAAATTCTGAAATGTCTGAATCTGCAATTTCTAACTGATCTGCTCTTAACAAAAAAAGAGTAGCAAAGTAAAAATTAGAAAATCACAGTGCTCAAGAGCAGATCTTGCCTGACCTGGGTGTTTTATGATAACGATGGAATTCAGCACTTTGGTCTTAACGGTCTTGCATCTTTCCAGTATTGTCCTAATGCTGAATAGACATTACAGTAAAAACAGCTTTAACTTTTGTGAGCTCTTCAGAGCTGCCTTTTCTTGCAAGGACAACTTATTTTCAGCTCCCAGTGCCTTCCCCTCTAGGAAAGTAGACCTCAGTGCGTTAGATGCACACTAGTGGGACTTAAGAGAAGTTCCAGGTTCATGGCTACGCTGCAGTGTGCTCGTGAGGGTTGGCGGGGCTCAAGGAGAATCTCTCAGCTTGAGCCCAAACCTCCTCGGTGGAGGAAGCTGTTCCTCTGTGGGGACACAAACCCCTGTTCAATATTCTCATAGCATAGATTCTGGTAGCATTGACAGCGTACATGGAAGAACATTGAGGTGGTGATCCGCATCATCTTTGCCAAAATACTTTGTTAATTAAATAATACAAGAGAAATTAGAAAATGTGATACCAACTCATAGCTTTTGGGTGTCTGACCCCACCTTGCTGAAAAAGGAGATGCACTGTGTGATGGTTAGTGTCAGTCTTTGGGGGAAGGAGCCATGCACCTATGATGCTAGGCATGTTTTGTGTTATAGGCTGTACTGTACTTGGAGTGTCTGTAATTTAATACAAAAATAAGCCACAGCTGTTAGATAGATAACCTAGAGGAAGTAAATTCACGTTTATTTTTAAATAGGGGATGGATTTTTTTAATCATCCAGACTTCAACAATTATAGTAGGTAGTCTGATTAAAAATTTTGACATTAGATACATGAAATACAGCTGTTAACATGAAAAGTTGTTCTCTTTCAGCCATGACTTGCATTCCCAAGCTCTGGTTTCTGGCTTGTGACATAAACTTGTAGCTTTGGTGATTTATTCTGTAGTTCAAGAGTGATTGTGTTTCGGATGTAAAAATTAAAGACTCAAAATACCGGGGGAGTATTCTACAGTCATGAAAAAATAACTAATGTGAATGAAATTTAATATATTATCAATATCCTCATGCTGCTTTTACAAAACTCATTGTTTGGTGTATCCACTCACTTCCAAGAAGAGAAGTGTCACTACTACTCACGATACCACTCTGACACACGAAAGATTCCGTTTGCACAAGTGTACTGAGGTCAGAAGAACAAAACTCCGGTGGAGTCTTCATAACACTGTCATTAGAGGAATGTGCTTTGTGGTGGCAGCCATGTTAAATATTACCCTCAGTAAAGTTTCTGTCAAACTACCATAGCTGTGTGCCTGCTCTAGAACTAAAGAAAACAAAAACCGACTTGGAAGCAGTGATGGATGTGTGGCTGTGCCAAGAATTATTAAAAATGGCTGAGAGCTGTAAACTGAGAGTCCTCCAGTCATTAATTTTACCTGCCTTGCTATAGATTGTAGTTTCTAAGTGGCCTTTTTTGAGTGAAATGATTCAAAGGGCCCAAGTAACACTTGTTTCCCTGGTTCAATTTCCATGCCTTGGATGACTGATGGATGCCTCATGGCTGATCAGGGTCCAGCGGCCATGTTGTGTTCCTTCTAAAATGGTGGACGGGCACTTCTCAGAAGTTCTGTGCTTCCATTTAGTAGCAGCTGCTTGTGCACATTCAAATACATACATTTAAAAATACCATTAATACATTTTAAACCTCTTTCACATGCATTAGGATATTCTACATCTTTATGCCAGCCTACTGCTATTTTTTTTTGTCATTTCCCTTTTTAAAGTCTTTTTCCATAATAAGAGTTTCAAGTAAATTATGTCAACAAAGAAATTGCTATCCTCCTCATGCCATATTTCTTTCTCTACCTCTGAGTAGCTGTCAAGTGGAAGAGAAGAATTTAGAGGATTGCACAGTACGCTGTCGCTGGATAGGTTCATTAACTTTTATGTATTTGAGGCTGTATTTCAATATAAGTAGATTCTGAAAGATGACAAGGGACGTGGTTTGCTTGTATGTGTCAGGAGGGTAAACTTGAATGCTTTGTTTCATGTAGTTGAAATTCACCCTGAAAAGGGGGTTCATGAGTTGTTTTAGTGTTTTAGGTTCTTTCTACCTTTGCTTAAGGTAACTATGATTAGGAATTTATTGATACAGATTGCCAGTAGGCATTTTCAGGGTCAGATTTCCACATTTGAACCTTGCCCATACATGAGTAACTTTGAGATAGCGTAGATAGTTTGTTCTACATAAATGTTACATAATTGCCCTCCATCCAGCAGATACCTCCTCTCAATAAAAAGAGCATTTTATTTTCTATTGTGAAGGGCAAGTTAGTTTGCTTAAGCATATTTCTACTTGATGCCTGGTTGATCTTTTTGAAAAACTTCAAAGAATATATTTTTTGTTGTTTCTTCTCGATGAATTTGTGGATTGGGTCTGAATTTCTTGGGTTGTTTCCAGGTTCTTTAATAACAGGTTCCTTAAGTGATACTTTAATTTTTTAATAAAAATAGCTCTAGTAGCACATGCTGTGAGCTGGGAATGGTTGGGGTTTTTGTATTTGTGGGGGGGGGGGGTTNTTGTTTGTTTTTTTTTATGAGGGCTTTTGTAATAAAAGCTAGTGCTTGGTCTTGTAGACCTCAAGGTCTAGATCTTTTATTTTTAAATTTATTTTAATTCAAGTGTTTTAATATCCCATTTTCCCTACAGACGTGTTGAGGAACTGATTTACTCACTGTAAGCAAAATAGCTGCTCTTGGTTGAAGCACTGGTAAGTTGTTATTCCTAATAACATTTACTTTTTAGCTTTAATAACGGCCCAGCAAGCACACATGGCTGTAATGTTTAAGTGGCTGAAGGCTTTGGCTGAATACATTCTGAAGGTCATTAGTGTGTGGCCATGTGTGCATGTTGTTTCAGAAAAGCTGAAAAGGAGTCTGGGTCATTGCTGCTGGCCCTGGGGAAGTGAGCAGTGCTTGGATAGTGCTCTCTCCCTGGCTGCCTGCAGAACAGCTTTCAGAGCTGATTGTAGGTCTGGGGGCGTCCATGATTTGACTCCAGATTGCACTGAGAACTTTTCTATCATAGTTGTGCTCGTTCAGAAGGGTTTTTGGTATGCAGATGTCTGTCTCTAGAGAGGTACTACACACAATTTGGATAACAAATGGTGTGGAAAGTATAGCAGGAAGAACTTGCTGTACAAGCATCTTGTGTTGTCCTTATGCTTCTGTCAGGATCAGTGGGAGCCTTTGAGCAGGCAGTAACTGTCTCCTGTTCTACAATTGTTCTGTTTCTGTTCTTCATTCATAAAACTTTGGCTTTGCACAAAATGATAAATGCCAGTACAGTTTCCTGTATTTTTTAAAAATTAAACTGCTAGCTGATAGACTTGAAATCTTTCCTCATATAGTCAAAACATAAAGTTGGCAGGCTTGAGTAGGTAAATTAATTCAGTTCTATACTGGATGAATATAGGGACAGAATTTTTTTCCATTTCCTTAAAGGGATTTGGTCTTGACCTTTTGTTGTCTCTGGCACATTTTGTGACTCTTTAAAGAGTTGCTTGTGGAAAGACCCAGTCTTTTTGTCTTTCTCACTGCTTCAAATTCAGACTCCTTGATTCTGCATATTTAATTAGGTCATCCATTGCATTTTGTGTACATGGGTTAACTTTTTTATGTGAAGCTCTATTCCTGTAGCACTGTGCTCTGGAATATATGCTTTTCTTTAAGAGACAATTTCTTTTAGTCTGACTCGCTACCTGATTGAGCAAGGCCTTCCTTGGGCTTCAGGTAGCATGGGAAAATGTTCCAAGATGCAAATCCACTAATTTAGTGGCTGGATAACAGTGAATTTTAGCTGTGCCATGGCTGTGTTTGTTAGCAGAGCCCTCCAGCAGCCCCTGCCTTCTGCACTGCCTCAGGTGCTGGGAGAGAAGCTGGCTTTGTGCTCTAAAGTCCTGTGCTGCTCTTCCACTCCATGGTGTGCAGCCTAACATGGAGCCCTTCTGAAAAGGAAAAGCAGTTTGTGGGAGATGCTGCAAGCCTTGCCAAGCTGTCAGTCTGGCCTCCTGCTGCTTCTGGGCCCATTTTATTTTGGACCAATTTTATCATTTGAGTTTTCGGTCCTGAAGCAAAAGAAGTAGAAAGAGATGTAGCGAAAGATACGGATTTAAAGAATTAATTTTTAATGTGTGTACACAAACTCATTTTTGATAAGTATTTAATTTCTTCTACTGCTATTGTCTGTATGTTTTATTACTTTGTTCTTTCAGAAATCTTAAGCTGTTTTTCCCACTGCAGGTGTGTGTTGAGCAGTATATTTCTTCATATGTTTCTTCTCTAGCTATTCCTCAAAACTCTTCCTATGCTATCCACTGATGCCTTCCTAGCCCCAGTCACCTGCTAGAATCTCTAAACATGTGACTCATGTTCCATTTTAATATTAATCTTTGTGTGATTGCTACATCTTCCTGTGTGCATTTTTGTTTTTTCATTGGGCTGTAAATTAGCTATTGTCAGATCTGGCTCTTTGAGTAGAACTTGGCTTTTCAGTTACACACTGAGTAATTATTCCATCCTTTTCTGGTTTACAATCCTTACCTAAAAGGAAGAGGTGAATGTGAAACCCTTATGACTTTGTTGAAATAGTTGTATACAAATAAGTTGTTTCAAAAAGCAGTTGTTGAAAGTATTGCAATGTGAAAGGTCTGACGTTGCATTCTGTGGTTAACATGGTGTTTAGTTGAAGCACTGATTTTTATTTTTAACTCTCTTTTTTAAGAGAAGAGAGGAAATACTTGAAAACAGCAGGGGCTTTATTAAAGTTGGCATACTTTGCTTCATGCAATAAAATTTATTATTTAAAGCAATACCCACAAAGGAGTGCATTTGTGAATAAAGCCACATGTTATCTGGAATTGACCTTGAAATCTGACAAACCTGGCAAATACCCTTTCTTACCTAAAAATACCCAAACCTACATGAGTTGGGCTTTTACTGCTCTGCTTAAGGAACATCTGATGGTGGTAAAAGCAGATTTAGGGCTGTCCAGAGCACTTAGTCCTTGCTAAAGATGGTACAGAATAAAATAATGGACTTAGCTGCCAATAGAGAGCACTCCTTCAGTGTAAAAGTTACCAGGGGTGTTGTTGAGAGTAAAACCTTGCTTTAATGAACTTTGAAGCGCAGAACTTGAGGTTTGGTTTGCTCAGAACCTCATTTTGTCCATTCTGCTCCCTCTGTTGGAGTGAATTCCCTTTCCCAAGTAGGTCACCTTGGTTAAGAGTCTAAACCTCAGGTTTCATTCTGGAATAGTTTGTAAATGTATTGGTCTCCTAATGCATGGCAATTGTACCTGCTGGGCTTCAGGCTCACCCTTTAAGGAATGCAGGGTCACAGTGGACCTGAAATGGCTGAAGCCTGGGTTTGGCCATAAGCAATGTCTCTTACTGTTGTGATCTTTTAATACAGCAACAAATAATGGCAAAAAAAAACTGAAGAGGAAAACTTTGTTAACTCAGATGTTTTGTAATTGTTGCCTTTGAGCCTTTAGGCAGGTTTGGAATGGATGGCATGAAGTGCCAACATGTTACCAGTGGTTTGAAGGAAACTTTGTCAGGGTGACAGGACTACCCAGGTCCCTGATTTATCATCACCAAAATAACAGTGGTGGAAACCAAACCAGTAACTAGTAGATAACAGAACCTTGAGTAACGGGCAGATGCCTCATTCATTTTACAGAAGGAATGGTAGATTCATGTCATCTAGAGAAAAAAATGGGTTTTTCAGTATCTACCTCAAGTGTAGGATCACTGCATATGTCTTCATGGAGGAGTGTATTTTTATAACATTATTGACATTGCTTAGTAAAATATGCCTTAATTCATAAGTAAACAAACACTGAAATCTTCTAAAGCAAATGTAAATTTCACAAGTGTAGAGGCTGCTGTTAATATTTTGGCCATTCCTGGGGCATCTTTTTGATGTATAATAGCTTGGAGAACATGAAGGTGTTCTTAATTATAATACCTCATCAGTTCTGTTTACTGCTAATTATTTTAGGTTTAGAGAAGCATTTAAGATGAAGGTCATGAGGTGACTTGTGAAGTTCTTGGTCCAAGCCAACGTAGGTGAACCGAGCAGGGAAATTTGCCCTGAGATTGCTTTTGGCAGATCCTGTGAGTGTCTGAGGCACCAGGGCTAACCCAGCTGAAAGAGCCTTTTAAAGGGTGACTAATACATAACTAAATTACCTTTTTTAGAGGTGGGGAAAGTTGATGTCAGTAATTGCATTTCTATATTTTAAGCTTATTGAAAATAACTAAAAATAATTTTAATGATCTTATTTTTGGGATTCCCACTGTATGTATGTATGTTAGTACTTCAGAGTGTTTGATTGTGTCAATAATGGACAACTTTGTGGGGTTTTTTTTCATGTTTTGATACTTCGGTCAAGGAATTACCGTGAAAAAACATTCAAAATTTTAATTAATCTTCAAATGCCTAAATAGATTTGAAATTAATTTGGTGAGAACTGGGAAAAAAACCCCAAACCAAACCTAAAGCAACCCCAAAACTAGGTTAGTGTGAAGGAAAAACACCTTTACTTAATACATTGTCTTAACTGAGGATGAGTTGAATGTTTGAAACAGAGCATTTCTTTAAACTTGGAAGTTCTGTTTCTGAAAGCAGGAGTGTCCTGGGCTTGAACACTCCTGCAGTATGCATGTTTTACAATGCAAAGTGAAATTACCAGATGCCATATTGCACTTCTATGTGCAGGACTTTCCCGTTGTGTTTAAAACAAGGAAGTCCATAGAGGAGCATAAAACATGGGCCCTTGTGAAAGTCACACTGGGGCTTCTTGCCCTGCTTCCAGTGCTCTTTGCTTTGCTCTAAGTGGTTGTTTTGAGGTGAGACTGGGCAAGCTGGGATGCTGAGGCAGAGACCACTAGATGGCCCCACTGGTTTTTGCTGGGCTGTGGGTAATTCCTGTATCCCTTGGCAGAATCTGCCCAGGATTAGCAGGGAGCAGAGTGGTGGTGAAGTTGGTTTTCAGACTAAAATGAGGTTAAACCTCTACATATGCAAAACCAGAAATTGATGTTGGAGTGCAGACACTCAAAATCATGAAGGCATTTCAAAACCCTTTTTGCATGTCAGCCTACAGTCAGTATTGGTTTCAAAATGATGTTCTTAACACTTAGTAACTTCTGTACCCAAGTTTTGCATGTGAGGAGGAGTAAGGTTTTACTTGAAGCAAATTGAGCTTACATTTCTTGGAAGAAGATAGGAAGATGGGAACATTGGGTTTGTATTTATCCATGTGGATGCTGTTTGTTCAGTTTGGTTTGTCACTCACCTGTGGCTTGGTTGCAGTTCCATGATGAGTGCAGTTGGAATATGGCTCTGGAGCCTTGCTGAAGGTAGCTAGGGTGACTTGTGACCATTTTTGTCTGATTTCTGGTGTGTCCTTTCCCACCAGTAACTAAACCAGCCATTCCATTTGCTTGTGTGTGTGCTGTTGTACTGTACATCTTTCATGAGCTGGAAAACTGGGTTAAGATGGTGGAATGTCTTGTGTCCAGTCACCATCTGTCTATAAGAAACCAGTTTTCATTGGTTTTGATGGATCTTTGTCTTTGAAGAAAGGAGCTTGAATAGTACTTTGTTAAAAATTTTGGTTTGTTACAAGAACCTTGGTGTTCTGCTAAGCAATGTCAGTTCCAGGGGATGGGCCAGTGCCATGAAAATGGTTGCAAGAGCAAATTTCTTTGATTTCCCACCACGGATTTCTCTAGTGGTTTAAAAATTTCAAATGGAATTCATGGATCCTGAAAGGGTTCTTGGACTTCTAATATTTTCTCCCACTTTTTTTATAGTTTTGGTTAAATTTTTTTTTTTTTAATTCTTGAATTGATTATTTGATATTGTTTCTGATGAAAATAGATATTGTGGACTGTGTAACATGGAATGAAGCATCACTTACATGTTTAAATTATCTTCAAGGTACAGTAGTTGAATGTCTTAGTTTAAAGCAATGATGTGTATTCCAACAGCATTTTTCTTCTAATTTTTCATAAAGAATCCATTCAGATGAAGAGTGTCAAAAGGAGTCTGCGAATGAGACACCAAGATGGCAGTTCCACTGGGGAATGAGAGGTTGAGGAAATGGACTAAATGCATGAGTGCTGGGATGTCTGTCCAAGAAAAGGATGTTAAAACGTGGACTCTCATGTTATTAAACCAGAGAAGATCTGGGTTGTGATCATCCTATCAAAATGGACTTTGCATTTGAATTAATCAGTGATATCCAGTGATGGGATCTGTTTGAGAACTGGGTGGCAAAATTTTCCTTTTGGGTTGTTTTTGCATGACAGGCAAATTAATTTGGTAAAAGATCTGTTGCTACTGCTTTCGAGAAAATGTAATTTATAAAGTGACTTTAAATAAAAGGTTTTGGTTTATTTCACACTTTGTGTTTGTCCTTTCTGGCTGAATATTTTTTACTGAGTTGATACTGAAGTGGGTTACATTTTTGGTTGCTATTAAACTGAGAAATACTTTAGCTAAGTACTGGAGGCAAGGTAAAATTTTGTGCTATACTTGGTATCAAATGTGGTTTTCATTTGCAAATTATGTTCACTTTGCCATGACTTCCAATGAATTTTTATTCGCTGGCTTGTTCATTCAGGTGCTTAATATGAGGGGTTTTCAGTACTTGGCCTATTGTCAGGGCACTGCTGCTGAACTTTGTGGAGTTATTTTAAGATGGAATTGATACCAATTGAAGGCTGAGAAAATAAGACAATAAAAAGAGTACTTGAATGTTTTGTGTAACTTTTTTAGGTATGTTCTTGGGTTGTGTGTGGGTACAGAAACTTTTCAACAGATTTCCTGGACTACAGACTTCCTGAGCAGTCTCTTTGGTCTTAAAATTGTTCTGTGCAAGTGTCCAATGTGCTTCACTGCTCTTGCATGTAGCCTTAGTGTCACAATACTCTGCCATGTTGGTGAGAGACAATTAGTTATTTTTGATATGGCTACAGATGACATATTAACCTTTGCAAATTAATTCTAAAATGGTTCTAATATTCAAAGTCATTATTTCCTTACAGGTGTCTGGGTGGATCTGATAATTTAACTGTAGGCATTTCTTTTCTGTATGTTTCACCTGAAACTCAAAGTTGTCTTTGTATTGTGCTGGAGGGTCAAGATGGTGAACCTGGTGCTGAGAGAATCTTGAAATTGTATTTGAAAACCCAAACAAAGTCCTGTTCATTGTCTGTGTTAACCATTTGCCTTGCTCAGACTTTTTTGGAAATGCCCATTTTTGCCATGATGAGTTGCTCATACCTGTTCCATCCAGCCATTTTGGTGGTGCACGCTTGCCCCAGTTTGGTTTTGCCATGTGTTTTTATGGCGGAGTTGGATTCTGGGACCACCATGAATGGTTCTCATTCAAATGAGTGGATTTCTTTAGTCTTACCAGAAAACGTTTGGAATGGTCTTGCATTGTGGTTTTTTAATTCTTGCACTTGAGATGCAAGGAGTCTTCTGTGAATAATTGGTAAAGTGGAATTTTTTTCAATGGCTTGTGGCATTGGGGAGTTCCTAATGAAGCCCCTTGTGGAAAGAGGATGGATGGTTGTAGGAGATAAATGGCAGGGCCCTGGAGGAATTAAAGGGGATGTGTTGGTTCTACTGGCCGAAGCCAATGGTTTTGGGCTGTTGGGGTGCTGAGCCATGGATGTTCCCACAGAACCCCAAACTAGCCCATTGCCCCTTTGTCCTCCAGTGGTCCCCCAGTGGCTGGTGGCTCTTGTCTTGTTGTGATGCTTATGAATATGCAAGATGTTCTTGTGCTTTGAGGGGTTGGTTTTGGTCGTGGAAGACAACTGGTAGTCAGAATCAGGTGGTCAGGGGGTACTTGGATCACCTCCATTCCTTGGTGATAGATCCTCTCAATTCCAGGATGTCGTGTTGGAGATGTCCATTGATTGATTTGCAGTTGTGCAGCTTGGCTATTGTGCAGCTTTAAAATTAATTTGTTCTGTTAAAATCTGTTAATGAGCATGAATGGGTTAAGAAAGTGCATTAGAAACGAGCAGTTTGGTGGTGTTGGACTGCCTTGGGCGCAGTGCCTTGGTGTAGCTGGTGGCAGTGCTGTGGCTGCTGCATTTGAGTTGTTGGGGGAACCACTAGGGAGGCGCTGTGGAGCTGCAGGGCAATCTCAGCTCTGTGGGCTTGGCTTGGGAGTGGCTAATGCTGCTGTCCCCCCCTGCCAGTGCAGCACTGGGGGGCAGAGGGAAGAGCTCTTGTCTGGGGGTTCTGCCTCCAAACTGGGGGGAAGCTGCCCCTTGGGTGGGGTGACCCCAGGGTGGGCTGCTGCTGCCTGCATGGCTGTGAGCTCCACTTTCATGCCTTCAAAATGGCTTGTAACAGCACCACTTCCTGTCCAGGGAGGAAGTAATTTTAGCCCAGGCACTGAAATATTTAACAAATCTTTAAAACAAAAGGCACAAATTCCATTTCTTTCTGGCTTCCAAAGGGTGCCTGAGCCACATGGGGTTAAGGTGCCCCTTGAGCTGGGGTAGTTGGAAGGAGCCAGGGCTGTGGGGTAGCAGGCACCCTTTAGGTGGAGGCTCTCTCTTTTTTTGGTAGAAATGAAGGGGTGGGTCTATGGTACATCACCTGAGTTGTGGGGTAAATGTAGAGAGTGTCAATCAAAGGCAGAGCTCAGAGCTGGGAAGGAGCTCTAGATGGCGGCTGTGCCTTAGAGAGAGCGCGCTCAGCTCCGTGCCTTCCCCAACACTTTACGCAACTTTCCCTAACTTTCAGGCAGCCTCAGGGGGCCCCCACAGCCCCTTGCCTCTCCTAGGCACTAATCGGGGGCCGAGCGGACCTTTTTCGGGCAGAAAAGCAGCTTTTGAGGGCTCCCTTTTCGTGCCTTGCTGGAAAGAAGAAGCCGTGGAGAGAGCCCAGGTCGTTGTTTTTCCAGCTTAGAAGCCATGGCGTACCTCCATTTTTGTGCGCTCTCCTAATGAGCTTTTTCCCCCGGACATTTTTGTACTAATTACCGCTTCTTTTGCTTTATCGGCAGCATATTTTTGGGATTAGAATATATATTTTTTTTTCATTTTCTGAAATTTGTATTTTATCGGTATAATTACAAATATTTTGGATCCGATGTTTTTCCACTACCCGAAACTAATATCGACTTGGTCCTGGCGGCGGTGCATGGATCAGGTAGGTGAGCAATTAATAATAATAATTTTTAGATTTCTGCCGTTTTGAATACTTTGATTTTCGACCGATTTGTGCTGTATTGGGATGACGCAATAAGATACAGAGATTATTTGCATCCAGTGTTACTTTGGGAAAGTTTGCAGGATGCTCCTCTCCTGTGTTTATTCTCGGATTTTTCTTGTAAAAATGATTATTTGTTTTAAATCTCCGGTTTGCCGTGTTGATCAGTGCTGTGTATTGTTATAACAATATCATTGCAGCGTCAGGACTTTGTTCCTGATAATGAAAGCCAGTGAAACGAACTGGGACCTTACCTTTCTTTCAACTTTTGACAGTAAATACCTGGGCACAGGACTTCAAAGCAAACAGACACCCCTGACCCCCTTTTAATATTTAAGAATAAAAAGATGATGAGAAATAAGGACAAAAGCCAAGGAGAGGAGGGTTCAGTCCACAGCAATGCATCGAGGTATGACCTATCAACTTTCTTTTTTTTTTTTTTTTGTAAAACCTGTGAATACCCTGTTTACTTTGACAGCCTTGGGTTACTGTCAGTGCTTAATAGAAAACATTTTACTGATTTTGCTTCCTTTTTAAGGAATGACCTTGAGATTGTTAGCATGCCACACCCTAATTTTTTTTGGTAGCAATTTCTGAAACTTGTGTTGTGACTTAAGGGCCCATGTCCTAGGCAAAAGGTACTGTACCTTTATTCAGGGCAGCCCTTGCCCCTGTATGATGTTTTTCCAGCTTTTGAATTTCAGTTTTTAGGTTTTTTGTGCTGTGAAAAATGACCTTGTCGGTTTAGCCATTGCTGCATTGCACCATTTTACATACAAGGCAAATTTTTCTTTGAAGAATCTCAGAAGTCTAAACTTTAACTGAGGGCCATACAGAAGCCTGGTGTAGTAGTAAATTATAGTAAATAGGCACAAGAAAAAGTTACATGAATGAAAAAAAGCTTATTTTAAAATATAAACTGGAAAGTGCCTGTTTGTCGGATACCTCTTACTTCAAATTTTATTTGGGCTTGTAGAACTTTGATTCTGTGGAGGTATTTTAGAATATTTTTATACAATTTAACCAGACTTTGTCCTGCTGGTGATGGCATTTTGTATCATAAAACATATACTGGGATTGTTAACAAGAGGCACCAAATGATTTGCTTGTTTTGTTTAACGTATTTTTGCTCAGAGTATTTTTATTTACTTTTATCAAGTAATGAGATTCTTTACAGATTTTTAGAAACTTAACCTTGATGTGGGAAAAGTATGAAATACTGAAAATGTTTGTTTGCTGGGAATGCAGAAGTACAATTATCAAATCGCTCATTTTATATTTAAAAGGTCGGCTCTTCCAAAAATTGGAAATTAAACTACATGCATTTTTGGTTTTGGTTTGTAAATATCACTGAGTTTTGCATTTTGTTAATTTCAGTTGAATCTTGGTCTGTTTCTTTTTCTCTGGTGTTGTCTTCCTGCATTTTTAACCGACATTAATAAAAAAGAACTCTGAACTGTCTGTTGTATCACATGTGCTCTATGTGATGTTCAGGTGTTTGAATACTATTCTTGATGTCCAGTATTTAACCTTCCTTAAGCACATGAACTTGAAATAGTGTGGCTATATATTATTATCAAATTATTGTAACCTTCTAATATAAACTTGGATGGTAATCCGGGTGTATTAAAAGTGCAGTCAAATTTTAAATTCTAAAATAAATGTGGGTAAGATTGTTTAATTTGAAATTATTAATAACTAAATTAGCCTCAGGGATTGTTGAAGCACTTAAACTGAGCTTTTCTAATAATGCAGGTTAAAAACACATCAGATTTTCATACTGAGCTTTCTTTACTGTAAATGCTGCACACAAAATATTATGTAAAAAGTCACCATGTATAAAAATTATTTTGCAGATTATGCATTTTTTTATGCTTTTTTGAAGTGGATATTATCAACAAGAGCAGCAATTGACATAATTTGTTGAGGAAATTGAAAGTATTTTACCAGTGTTGGGAAGGAATGGGAGCTAAAATCTGAGCCATGTAGCAGGAGTCCCACAGGGGGTTTTGTCCTTAGGGGTATGAGATTTGCATAGTGTCTCGTGTGCTTTTGGGGTTTTCATTGAAAGGTTATTTATCATAATTGATCATTTACATTTAACACCTGTTGTGTGAGGTTCTCCTTCTCCCCCTTCACATTTTTTTTCCTCTGAATTAACCTGCTGTGTGTGACACCAGCACACCTGAAGTGTGGGAACAATTGAGCACAGGATATTTGCAAGTGAACCCTGTTGAGCTTATTTGTGAGGTGTGAGTCAGCTCAATGTCATAAAATGGGCTTTACTTCCTGAGGTTGACCTGAAGTAGGGGAAATGATTTCTAGGAAGTAAAGCCACCACTTTGCTGTATTGAAACCCCAAAATGCACCGGTGTCTGCGCTTCTCATGCTGCTGAGACCAGCTTGGTATCCATGGAAGTACCTGGACATGGAAGCTGCACAGTCCTGGTGGGAAACCTGGGTGGTGGAGGAGGGGGATGTGGCCGGTGCCATTCACCTGGGCTGGAGAAGGGTGTTAGAGTGGAAGAAAATACAGTTCTTGCACACCACTGTAGTGCCCTGAGGAACTGACTCCTTTTCCAGTTCTAAGGGAATACAAAGGCCTGTGTGGAATAAACAGAAATGCCTGAGAATTGTCCCAAAGCAGACAATTTATTCTTGGAGAGAGAAATGGTGTTAACTCTTTACAGTTTGTAAGCTGAGGCTTGTACTCCTGCCTTTCCAGGTGCCCAGCAACACCTGTCCTTTGTGCTTTGACAGTAAATCCAACTTGGAGCTGAGGGATTTCATGCAACTTTGCCCAATGTAAAAGTTGCTCTGGGTCTGCTGCAGTTCCTGCTGACCCTCACCTGTGTGCCTGAGATTTGCATAAGTAATTGAACACAATCTGCTGTATTTTCTAGCATCTTCTGTGCTGCATGTGTGAAAGGTAATGTGAAGGTACATCATCCATGGTTGGTCCCCATGGGAAGTGCAGAGGCCAGGGGCAGGCTGGGGCCCCCCTGAAGCCCAGGAGTGAGTTTGCAGGGATAGCAAGTAACAGGCATGGGATAGATACGTAGTTTTCCTTTACCTTGGCCTGTATCTGTTGCAGTTGCTCTCCCACTTCAGAAATACCCGCGTGGGAATGGTTTGAGCTGCAGACCCTGCAAGGCTGGGCCAGCCCTTGTGTCTGTATCCAGCTCTGGGCTTCTCTAGCATTAAAACATCTTTTTTTGGGGGAAAAATAGCTTGTAGTGGATTAGCTCCCGGGCCATTTTCTGTGCAGGGCTGGAGCTCCGAGGTCTGAAATGGCTGTTTTTGCTCAGCAGCCACCTCCCAGCGCAGGGCTTTGCGCAGCACAACACCCTCGCCTGACGTGGCAGCCATTTTATGGAGATGTCGGTGCACACGAACCAGCGTTTGGCCGGCGGGGGGGAAAAGGAGGGAAACGATCGCGTTAGGCACAAACTGCCCCCCGTGTGTGGCGCGGGGAGCAGGGGGCAACCCGTTGTGGCCGGGGCAGCGGCGGGCCCGGGGCGGGCGGCTGTGGCGGGCGGCGTTGGCCGGCGCTGTCACAAAATGGCTGTTCTTTGTGCCGCACCGCTCGGGCGCCGCGGGAAGCGGCCGCGGGGTTCAAAGGCCGCCCTGCGCCGGCCGCGCCGCCATTGGCTGCGCGCGCCGCGCGGGCCCCCGGGAGCGGAGCGGGCCGGGAGCGGCGGCTGCCGCGGCCTCCCCCCGCTTCCGTTGCTCTGCCGGGCGTGGGCTCGCTCTGCTTCATTTTAACGGGCTTTCATTTTAATACTGCCAGCTATTTTCAGCAGGCACTTGAAAAGAAGCAGGGCTATTTTTTGCTGCGGATTTTTTTTTTTTTTTTTTTTTTTTTTTTTTTGAACTTCAAAAGGAATTGTAGAATGCCATAGTATTCCCGGAACATCTGTCGTATTTTTTTTTTTTTGTCTTTTTTTCCCCTTTTATTTTTTTAAAGAGATGCACATCTTTCAGTATCCTTAAATCACCAAAATTCAGTTTGCTTTCAGTGTGTATTTTGCCACTGATTTTCTCTCAGCTGAGTAGAAACATTGAACGCATTTGTTAAAATGCCTCAAACTTTGGGTTTCAAGGTTTTATCTGGGTTAAAATGCCTCACACTGTGGGTTTCAAGGTTTTATCCGGGTGACGAGTTATTTTTTAGCTGTTGTGGCCATGTGCATGTGCCGAGGCTTTTAGTTTCATTTGCACCGCCGCATTCTTCAACAAGGATTTTTTTTTTCTCTCTCCCTTTTTAAGCTTTAACCCTTTGTGAAACTGTCCAGAGCCTTTTTTGAAAAGGAAAAATGCTTGATCAGTGCGGGACACAAAAGGAATAATGTGCAAGGAATTCATATGAATCATGATGTAATCTGTGTGCAGCACAAAGGAGATTGTTCTTGTTTTGCTTTGTTACTTCTGTTTCACATTACCCTCGTGAAGGAAGTGTCTCATCTAATTACGCATGCACAATCCTGAGGCTTTCAACTCCTCTGTTCCCTGTTTTGTGATTGCTGCCAGAGATGGATACAGTATATACAGTGCTATAAAAAGAGATCACCAACTGCAAGAGGCTACATTTAGCTGTAGTTCATTGTTTTCTGGATTGTTCTTTTTTTTTTTTTTTTAGTTAAATATCTTAAGCTAATTGATCAAATTGCATAGATTCTCTAAAATGCATGACTTGCTGAATAAAACTTGGAAAATGGGAATGAAGAGCTCACCTGGGTAATTGTGTAACCCAGTTTGTGTGGCACAGCCTGTGCTGGGGCTGGGGCGTTGCATGGCCGGGTGCACGTGTGTGCAGGCATGTTCCCAACTCCAGGAGCGCCTCCAGCCAAGGCAGGGTGGTTCAGATGGCACACTGGAGCCTGTTCCCCTTTCTGTCGGGTTGATGTTTCACCTGCCGCACTCTGAGGGCAGCAGTTGCCCTTATCTGCACCTTCCCCACTTCCTGCAGTGCTGGTGCCAGCTGTGGCTCGGTGGTGGCGTTTCCGAGAACGCGGATCCCGGCTGTGCCTCGGGAGCAGCGCTGGCGCTGCCATAACCACATTTCTGTGTTCAAACAAACACTTCCACTGGCAGCCTTGACAGGGCTCGGAAGGAGGGCCAGGAAGGCCTTGGTGTTTCATTTCAATCTCTCTATTCGGTATAGGGATAATCCAATTCCTGTCTTGAGGTGTTTCACCCCCACAGAGAGTTGCTCATAGCACTGGCAGGTTACTGAGCTGCCAGACTTGTCTCTGAGGAGTTTTTATACTGGGGCATCTCTTAATTGAGGTTTATCAGTGCTGGTGTTGAAGAGCAGGTGAAGTACCTGAGACAGCAAGCAGGAGTCTTAGGGACTGAACTGAAGCTTCCCATGCCACGGACTGGGTGCTTTTGAACTCGAGACAGCCC